ATCGCGACAACCCTACTGTATATTTGTGTGGACGTGTGGAGACACTTTTTTAAATATTCCATCCAGTCGTTGTATTTGCAGAGGTCGCTGGTGCTAGACTAGTGCATGTCAATGGTCATAGTTATACTGACACTAAAAACAGTCTTACCCACTCCACAAAACACCTGAAGTAAAACTATTACTACTCCAGACTGTCGATGTAAATGTCTGTGTTGATAGAATAATGTTTGAAATAAAACTAACCTTGCATCGCATGAATCGTCGCATGTTGAGGGACTATTTTCTCATATATCAGTCCGCCGCTGCCGAGCTTTCTATCAGGAAATACACCTCACTGCTGCTGCTCAGACATAAATCCTTCAAATGCAAGGTTGGTTTTACTTCTAAAATTATTCTATCAACACAGACATTTTACATGGACAGTCTTTTGTAATAATAGATTTGCTTCGGGTGTTTTGTGGAGTGGGTAAGACTGTTTTTAGTGGCAGGAGAACTATGGCCATTGACATGCACTAGTCTAGCACCAGCGACCTCTGCAAATACAAGGACTGGATGGAATTTTTTTTTTTTTAAAGTGTCTCCACACGTCTCCAACACTCTGGCTCACTAGGAAATGAGGTCCTGTGTCCAAAATTTGGGACTGTCCCTTTAACATTGTCAGAATAATCGCCATGAAGATTCAAGTTTAGTTGGTAGAGTTTGTCCACTGATCTGAATGTCGGTGATTCCAATCCTGCTGTCAACGTAAACATTATTGGTTGAGCGGTCTAATCCACTAACCCACAGGTTGGCGGTGCGATTCCAGCTCCCACAGATGAATGCTGTCACTGTGTCCTTGGGCAAGAGATTTTGAGACTTGAAGATGGAAAATCGCTGTACAAAAATGTGACTATTTACCATTTCAACTGCTTAAAACTGAACTGTTCCTTCCCCACGTTAAGTCCTGATTCTGTGGTTTAATTAAATTGGTCTGTAACTTCCAAGAAAGTTATTTTTTTCTTTTCTTTCTTTGCCTCCTTTTGTGTTACTGACAAAAGGAGCTGGTTAATTGCAGTTTGTGTCCATAAAGAGCGTTTGCAGCCACAGCTCAACAAATCACATTAACAGTTGGACATTTTCTCTTTCGTTGGCTCAAATATTCGTCGTCCTTTGTCTATAAAAGTCGCTTATTAATCTCTGGACTGTTTTCTTCTTACAGGCATGCTTTTTTGTTGTAAATTTGAAAATAATGCAGAATTAGACTTGATCTCGTCTATTTTTCAATCGTAAATTTAAAGAGTATTGGTGTTATATCTCAATGGGATTATCTTAAAGGTTGTATAGAGGATTTTTTTAAGGGAAAAGAAATACATCGACAGTCCTTTTTCAAATGTTGTGCATGCGTGACACCACCTTCCTCATCCACAGCTTCCTCAGTAGAAACACCTCCTTCTGCCTCCTTACTCTAGAAATCACACTTGTTTACAGCCAGTGAGTGTTCAGAATTACTGTTGAAGTGACCTGTCTAGAAGTAATTTAGCAACCGAAGCGTCAGTTTTTAGACCCTTCGTCAGCTTCATTCGCGCCATCGCTGGAAGAGATCTCCAAGAATCACCTCAGTTTGTCTTCGCTCCTTTTCTCCTTCTCTTCTTTCAGCAACCTCAAAAATTGATTTCTTTTGCGGCGAACTGGTCGTGGATTCTCGTCCGCCATCGCAACAAACTTTGTGCAAACTGTGAGGAAGCGACAGTTTGAAAAAAAAGACTCTAAAAACCGCTGTATAAACCACGTAATCCCCAGTCAGTTACACTAGAAACGTAGGGAGTTTGATTGACAGCCTAACAGCCAATAGAAAATGAGGCAGCCTCGTTTTCTATTGGCTGATGTTTATCTGGCCTCACTACGTCCACAGTTGATAGATTTTCATTCTTTTTTTTTTTGGTCATCATAATTATAAGGCTGCTGCATCTCTGTAATGGTATTTTAAACTTTCACTGACAATTTGAAACAAAAAAAAATCCTCCATACAACCTTTAAATTTTCTTAAAGGGCCCATATTACGTTATTTCTATTGTTGTTTCCTCATTACAAACATACCCAGAGTTGTACTAGAAGTTCTTCTCTCACACAGAAAATGCTCTGCTCGACTTTGTGATGTCATGTGGTAATACAGGAAGTGCTCCACTGTGTTTATAAACTCCACAACCCTTCACTTGGATGACTTCAACACTGAAATTGGCAGTCTTTTCCTGGGTTACGTGCCGATATTCCGGAGTGCCGCTATTTAGACACCGACGTCTAATTGTCGGAGTATCGGCACTTGAGTATTTTTTAAACATTCCACTGAAAAATATTAATGTGATAGTCTGTTATACTTTGCGCTCCCATATATTCATAAGATGCTCGGGCCGGTGCAAAGTTCTTGATCAGAGAATACATTGGCCACATAGGATCAGACAGTGGGAAAATGTAATGTAATGTAACTGATCGCCATGGGAAAACATTCATGCATTTTAAAAAAGAGCATAGGCCTTCGGGAAAATGTCTAATCTAAAACAGAGGCTGCGTGGGCCCTTTGTCTTCATTCATTTCTCCATGTAGGTGATCTGCGGAGAACACCTTGTAGCCTAAATTACGGGTGTCAAACTTAAATTCACAGAAGACCAAAATAAAAAACTTGGACTAAGTGATGGGACTAACTAAATATTTATTGAAAAATTTCAACCCCATATTTTCTGTTCTTTTGAGATATGTAATGTTAATGTGTTAATTCATCCAGTCTCTCTCTCTAAAACCTTCAAATCAGGCAAGAAATCTCGGGGTAATAATGGACTCAGACTTGAACTTTAACAGCCACATCAAATCAATAACATCTGCAGCCTTTTACCATCTAAAAAACATAGCAAAAATCAAAGGTTTACTGTCTAAAGCAGACTTGGAGAAACTTATCCATGCATTTGTCTCCAGTAGGTTAGATACTGTAATGTTCTGCTCACTGGTCTCTCCAAACGAGCTGTGAGACGCTGCAGAACATCCAGAACATCCAGAACATCCAGAACGCTGCAGCTCGGGTCCTGACTCGAACTAGGAAGTACGAGCACATAAGTCCTGTGCTCAGGTCTCTGCACTGGCTCCTGTGGCTCAGAGACTTTAAAGCAGCTCTGCTTGTACAAGTGTCTCCATGACCGAGCACCAAAGTCCATCTGTGACATGTTAGTGTCATATGAACCATCTCACACTCTGAGGAGCTCAGGGACCGGCCTCCTGCTGGTGCCCAGAGTCACGACTAAACAAGGGGAGTCAGAGTTTCAGGTTCAAGCAGCTAAAACCTGGAACAGTCTGAACATGTGAGACAGACTCTTCTGTGACGCTGTTTAAATCCAGACTCAAAACATTTCTGTTTAACTGTGCATATAACTGAAAGGTTTTCATTCCGCACTCTTCTCTCCAATTTATGTCTCTCTTTTTTTAAAATTTTAATCTTCATGATTATTTATGTTTTGATTCGTTTTTATTATGATTTTAATGTATTTCTTATTCTGTAAAGCACTTTGAATTACTTTGTGTACGAATTGTGCTATACAAATAAACTTGCCTTGCCTAATTAATATGTAATGCTAAAGTAGTAGTAAAGTAGTAGTTCTGCTTAAACAATGAATCCAGAACAAGCAGAATATAAAATAAATAAAAAACAATTTTAAATAAATAATGTCTCTATAGTCTATCTGGAGCCGGCGGGCAGCTCTAATACATATTTGATATTATATCGCGAGCCAAATTTAGCCCACAGGCCTAAGTTTGACATGTCTAGTCTAAATAAATAACCACGTTCATTGCGCCAGCTCAATGAGATGACACTCTCGCAGCCCAAAACACACTGTATATGATGAAATGACAGTGAGAGACGCACCTGAATAGACTATCGCACAACGTGATGGGTCGAAATAGCGATACTAAATAGTGTTGGAAAACCAGCTCGTCTAACTAGAGACATATTGTAATGAAGTGATGTTGGAATAGGTAGTGGACCCCCTTTTCCTGAACTAAAGGTCAAACGTACACTACTGGTAAAAAGTTTTAGAACACCCAAATTTTCCAGTTATTTATTGCAATTCAAGTCGTGCAAGTCCAATGAAGAGCTTGAAATTGTACAAAGGTAAAAACTGAACAGACAGAGGTTAAAAAAAGATACAAAAGACAAGTCCAAGCTCTGCCAAAACTACCTCAGGAAAAAAGAACAAGACGGTAAAGCTTGAAAACATGGAGCGTCCAGCAGCACAGTGTCCAGACTTAAACCCCGTCGAGCTGGTTTGGGATGAACTGGACAGAAGAGTGAAGCAACCTCCAAGTGCCACACATTTATGGAAACTTCTGCAACAGACTTGGGAAGAACTTTCTGAACAATATTTCATTTCTGCTGTAAAAAGAACGAGCCACGAGTGTGTTCAGCTGTTATACCTGCCAAAGGTGGACACTTTCATGAATCAAAAGTTTAGAATACGTTTTGGACTATAAATTGATTCCGTGTTTTTCTTTTTCAACTCGGCTTATTTGTTCTGTGCTTTCATTTCAGAGTGCAATGACAGAATGAACTGAATAATTTACAGTCAAAAGCTGGAAAAAGCGTGGGGTTCTAAAACTTTTGACCGGTAGTGTAGCTGTTCACTTGAAAACGACCACTACATGACCTCACAACGTGGAACAGAGCATTTTGAGCTTTCGAGACGTAGACAGTCTAATAATAAAGGATTAGTCAAACATTTTAATGACACAAAACACAACTCCAGGTCTGTTTTTGCGGAGGTAACAATGATTTAAAGCTTGACTAGCACACTGTAGGAACTTTAATGTTGCTTTTTATAAAATATCAAATGAAAGTCAGGTATTTACCCCAACAGATATTGAATAAGCCTACGAATCCTAAGTAAATCCTGTTAGTGTTACCTCTTTTTACATTATTTTTACACATTCAACCTTGTGTGTGTATTTCACTGGCCGCTTTTCCTTCTTGTGTTTGACAGACTGCCACATTGAGCCCAGCGCCACTGCCTCTGATCAGGACCACCTCAGAACTGTGAGTAATTACACCATGTTCCCTTCTCTGCCACCATCTTTTGATTTGTGCCCGCTCCCGTCGCCAACTCAAACTCTGAAATATGCGCCCGTAACTAAGCGAGCGCTGATGGAAAACCAATGGAAAATCAAGGGCTGAGTCTGACAGTTTTGGCAAGCAGTATGTAACGAGATTTGTGGTGTAATTTAGAAACAATTACCAAATCTGTTAATATGTTAATACGTCATGCCTGGTCACTTAAGAAGAATGTTTACCTGTCCGGCCAGAACCTCGCCAAAGGGAGAGAGACACTGGACTTAAAGGCGACGTTCAGACTGCAGCCTGAAGTGACCCAAATGATTTTTTCGCCCCTATGTGACCTGTATCTGATCTTTTAATGACAGTCTGAACGACACAGATCCGATTTTTTTTCAAATGTGACCCAGGCCACTTGGATATGTGCTCCTAAAACTGATACATATCCGATCTTTTGACATGCGACTTCAGTCTGAACGGCCCAAACGCATTCATCCCACAGACAACACAGACGTTTACACCGACAGTCTGGTGTAATAATAGATTTGCTTCGGGTGTTTTGTGGGGTGTCAGGATAACTATGACCATTGACATGCACTAGTCTAGCAACAGCGACCTCTGCAAATACAAGGACTGTAACTTCTTAGGTTCTTTTTAAAGACAATGCAGTAAAGTGTGTTTACCTTGTTGACATGTTTCGGCTGCTAGCTGCAAGCCATCTTCAGAACTGTCACGGTGTTGGTGGTGACGTGTCGTAAATCAGTTGTTGTTACTTCCTGTAGGCGTGGTCGGCCTGATGGACCTGGCAGGTGGCTCAGACTGACCACGCCTCCCGTCGCCCGGTGTCTCTGGAGGAGGGTGTCCCAGGTGTGTGAAAGGAGACACACTCCGTCATCACGGTTAATGCTGTCCGTGCCTCGTTTCCTGATTTCAATGGCCTCCTTGAGCGTTTGAACTTGTTGTTTTCCGATCCGATGACCCGAGCCCCGTCCCAATCCATAATGTGGTTGTTCCTTTTACAGTGTCTGATGTGGCGGATTTTAGGTTTTCCTGTTCTGCTTTGTCTTTTTGTGTTCTGGTGAGTCTCCCTGACGTTTCCTTTTCGCATTCCTTTTGGTGTTCCTTTTTTCGGATGTGAAATGCCCGGCCTGTTTCCCCTATGTATGATTTATTGCATGATTTGCATTGGATTTCGTAGATGGTGTTGCATTTTTGTTCTTGTGGGATTTTGTCCTTGGGATGTACGAGTTGTTGGCGGAGTTTTGTGTCTGGTTTTACTACAGTGCTTATGTTGTGTTTTTTCATGGCTCTGGATGGGTTCGGTTATACCTCTGATGTTCGGTAGTGTGACTATGTTCTTGTGGTCCTGCTGCCCTGTGTTGGATTGTTGTTTTTTTCCGGGGTTTGTTGGTTTTATTGATAACTTGTTGTCTGCCTTTGTTTATGGCCCAGCTGGGATACTGACATTGTTTGAGTGCTTGTATGATGTGTCTCTCCTCTTCCTCCCTGTCGGTCTGTGATGAGTGTGGCCCGTTCGAATAGTGTTCTTACTACTGAAAGTTTGTGTGCAGTGGGGTGTTCGGATGTCCAGAGTAAATATTGGTCAGTGTGTGTAGGTTTCCGGTATACAGTAATTTTGATGCTGCCGTCTGCGATGTGGTGGATTTTAATGTCCAGAAAAGATATGGCTCCGTCTTTCTCCTCCTCGTGTGTGAATTGAATATTACCTGTGTCGTCTTGTGTGTTGAGATGGTCCGTGAGTTTTTGTGTGTGTGTCCTTGCTGTATTTTCTCCAGGATGTCATCTACGTAGCGTTTCCAAAAGGTTAAACGGCATTGTGGTGGACTGGATGGAATATTCTAAAAAGTGTCTCCAACACTCTGGCTCACTAGGAAATGATGTCCTATGTCCAAAATTCCGGACTGTCCCTTTAACGTTGTCAGAATAAATTGCCATGAAGATTGAAGTTCAGATTTTGGCGGCATTAGCTCAGTCAGTCCACTCATCTGAAGGTTGGTGGTTCGAATCCCGCTGTCGAATTAAACATTATTGGTTGAGCTGTCTAATCCGCTGACCCACAGGTTGGCGGTGCGACTTCAGTCCGAACGGCCAGGTCGCATTCATCCCACCTACACGTCATCAACAAGCCACAAAGCGATACTCTTTGCTGCGACTCTGCACCCGCATGTTCCTTTCTACGGCTGGTACGACAGCAACTTTAAAATCTCCAGGTGTTCAATGCTCGTGTCCATGTTTAGGCGACTTACGTAAACACTGAGCACACTTTGTACATGTGATCAGTTCTGTTGGTAACATGTTCCAACTATGGCACATTTTTATGCCAGGCGAAATGGTGGCTCCTCTCAAACCAAATCAGCGCCCATAGTGTGGACTGATGAGTGAAGCAAAAGTGATGCTCCAGAGCAAATGAAATGAATGATGCTTTTAACTTCTTAGGTTCTTTTTAAAGACAATGCAGTAAAGTGTATTTACCTTGTTGACATGTTTCGGCTGCTGCCATCTTCAGAACTGTCACCGGTGTTGGTGTTGACGTGTCGTATATCAGCTGTTGTTACTTCCTGTAGGCGTGGTCAGACCTGATGGACCTGGCAGGTCGCTCAGACTGACCACGCCTCCCGTCGCCCGGCGACCTGCCAGGTCCATCAGGTCTGACCACGCCTACAGGAAGTAACAACAGCTGATATACGACACGTCACCACCAACACCAGTGACAGTTCTGAAGATGGCAGCAGCAGAAACATGTCAACAAGGTAAATACACTTTACTGCATTGTCTTTAAAAAGAACCTAAGAAGTTAAAGTATATAAGAAGACAAAATGAACATCATTGGCTTGAATGATGCTTTTGATAAGGATGATGTTTTTAAGATACTGAGAGAACGGGGAGTGAATGAGGAAACAGAATTGTTATGATGCTCTGGACATTATAAAGTCATTCTCTTTGTATGTTTGATTTTATGAACTATAACATCAAGGGACGACAGGTGGAAATGAGCACTGGCGCTATAACCTGGTACAATGCATCTCTCCTGTTAAGGTTAATGTATACTGTGCACTGTCCCGGTCTCATTAAATAAATAAACTAAACTAAAAAAAAACTAAACTTGCTGCTGCTGTGTGTGACGTCGTTCTGTTCTCCAATACTCATGCGGGACACTTGGGAAGTTTACATTTCACACTGGAGATCACATACAAGTCGCTTTTAATTGAAAATGTGAACGACCTCGCCAAAAAAATCCAAATTGAGCAATAACCCCTGCAGTCTGAACGTAGCCTTAGTCAAATTGTGCAGATTTAAGTCAAAAGTAGTGAACTTGTGAACACGTGAGGAGACAAAGGGACACACTGTGGCTCAGGCTTGTGGACAAACCTCCTTGACAAAGCCTGATTTCGTCTGATCTCGGAAGCTCAGCAGGGTTGTGTCTGGATAGTACTTGGATGGGAGACCGCTGGAAAAATCAGGTGCCTTAGGTGTTGCTGAAGTTGCTTGTCCAAGAAAGGGTGGAAGTAAAACGGCTGTAGACCAACTGGACGTCTTAAGCATGAGAAGTTTATTAACCATCAATAATATGGACCTGACGTGAAAAGCCAACACGGTGTGATTTCAAAAGTGAACATAGTGTGATCTTTGAGCGTTCAAGCCCCTGGACTCTGCTTCCAAACGAGGAGGTTTATGAATCAAGTGTGGTGAGACTATGAAGGCCAGCTGGCACCGGTGGGAATGGTACGGCAGTGGTACGCCAAGGGACAATCATGGTGTAAATATAGCTTTTGTGAGTCAATGTTAAACTGAGATTTACGTGGAAGATAAATTATTTAAATTATTTTATATTCGGGGGGGGAGCCAGTGGTAAAAAGCTGTTGTTGTGTCCTTAGGCAAGACACTTCACCCACATTGTCTAGTATGAAAGTGAAGTGTGTGTGAGTAATGGACTTTGAGCTTCTGGAAAAAAAAAACAAAAAAAAAACACTATATAAGATTAATGCATTGTTGTTATTATTATTATTGAGATTATTATTATTATTATTATTATTATTATTATTATTATTATTATTATTATTATTATTATTATTATTATTATTATTATTATTATTATTATTAATAATAATAATATAACAATAATCTATTTTTTATTGTTATTATTATTATTTTTATTATTCAGGCTGCTTTTTCCTAAACAAGAAATCCTAAATCCTCGTCGGCTCCATGCACTGTCACTGCCGCACGACTGGCTGCAGACCTGTCGATTAAAATGCGCTCGCCTTATCATTGCGCTTGACCAAAGTAGATCACTATCTGTCAATCTTTCGATTTTTGGCCCAGCGTTATCTCCGCCTCACAGATCTGACCTGTAACTTGCCCTTGTCTCCATGGGGCTGGATAAATTTAATGCCATGTTGCAGGGATCGGACAATAAACAATAATAATAAATAATGAAATGAAATGAAATTAAAAATGAAATTAAAAATAAAATAAAAACATTAAAAAAATAATAATAATAAATAAATAAATAATAAAGTGTATTGTGAAAAAAGGATAGACAATAATCATTCATGTTAATTGTGATAATTGCTATCTGCTAGATCAGGGGTGTCAAACATACGGCCCGGGGGCCAGATTCGGCTCTCCAAGACCTTTAATCTGGCCCTCGGCTGATTTTCTATGAAAATATTTTATTATTTTTATTTTTCTATTAAATTATTGGTAATTTTTTGCTGTGCTTAGCATAGCAGCGTCTCCAGCGTCTCTGTACGTGGCCCCTCCCACCAGAGCAGCACAAATGAAGACTTGTCTCTTTCCAAACACTCTTAAAGGACGATCGTTTTGACTGTTGACCGTGACACCCTCATCAACAAAATGGCCAACATGAGAAAAGTGGAGCCGAGTGCAGGATTTTACAAGAAAAATTGATTTATTCCTGTTTACATACAAGTTCATGTTAAAACATTGTGTTGAAATTTTAT